TGCTGCGCATGGTGGCCCACGCATGTAATACCAGCACTCGAGAGACTGATGTAGGAGGATCATCACAAGTCTGGTCAACATAGTGAGTTCAAGGCAAACCTGAACTATATATAGCAAGACCCTGTTTCAAAAAGAAAATAGAAAACAAGAGAAGCCCCATTGTCTTACAGTTTAGATGCCTTTAACAAAGACAAGATTTTTCTCTTCTCTCTTTAAAGAAGCGCTCTCCACATAGAGAAGAGTCAAGTAAACAGCTGGGAGCATACATCGCCCCTGGGCAGAGGTGGTGAACCTGCAGCCCAGGTGCTGCAGCAGGGCAGAGGAGCCCCTCTGTCAGTACGCATGCCAACGTGCCAGCACTGCCCTAGCAGCTGAGCATTCGGGTTTAGCTGAAGTGCTGGCCGTGGTTTTGGGGTTGCGGTTTGGGCACCTGGACGCTACATGGTTTGCCATCACTGCCAGGCTCCATCCTGGTGCCTGACTGCTGACTGTGTAAGCTGAACTCTCTCCATGACCCTTCTGACTTCCACAGGACAGGCTGAGAAGAAGGCTGGGTGCTCCTTCCTTTGGGGTCAGCCAGAACTTCAAACCTCGGGGGCCCCACCTGGGAGCCACAGGACAAGTCATAGAGCAGGGTTGGACCCAAAAGCTCTTCAGCCTCTTGATACACAAATCTAACTGGAACACCAGATCACGTCCAGTCAAGCTGACAACAAAAATATAATTGGTTTTTAAGAATTACCATGATGACTAGTAGCCAGATGTCCCCCAAAGCCTCACGCACTCAGAAGTGGGGCTTCCTAGAGCTGGCTGGATCTGGGGTGTGTGATTATGGAGTAAGGTGTGGTAACTAAATTAGTCCGCTGCTTGGTCTGTCATCGTGTGCCTCTGATGCTTGTCTCCTGGTGCCTCTTACCTGCTGCACAGTGCCCCTCTGCCCTGCCATGGCCTGCTTCTCCTCTGCTATGCCCCTCCACCATGCCACCCCATCTTGGAGCAAGCCAACTAGGGACTGAAACCTCTACAAATTAAAAGCCATCAATTCCCAGTTCCGCAAAAAAAAAAAAAAAATTAAAAGCCAAATAAACCTTTCTTCCTTTAACTTATGGGCATCAGATATTTTGTCCCAGCAATAAAGAAGTAACTAAAACAATTACCTTTAATATCTCATCCAAAAGAACAGATTTGATTTCTAAATCCTCAAAGTTACAAATATATCCAGAGGTCTGAATGGGCTCCTGAAAGACACAGACAAGTTTTACGTTTCACCTTTCAAAATGGTCTCTCCTTTAAGAAATCCTGGTTTTAAATTTTACATTAAAATTTTCAAACAAACTAAACACTAGACAGAATGACATTAGTACCATATAGACTAGTCAACATTTTGCTAAATATGGTTCATTTAATTTGTGGCTAATGGATTATTAGTAATAGCTATTATGACATTTCAACCTCTAAAATCTTGAGGCCATTTATCTAAAAGATATATGACCACATAAGACACGATTCTTAGTAAAACTGATAAGCATTATCTAAGTATTTCTATCTATACACACCTATCATAGAAATCTCTAACCATGCTGAAAACTGTTCTCAGTAACATGAGCCATGGAGCACCACTGACAGATTCCCTACATTAGATTTGATTTGCCTATACATAAATATATGAGTCTGTTACATGTCTGTCTGTTACTTTAGAGGGTCCCATATGCTCATAGATGTGTCTAGTACACCAGGTTTTCAAATGTTTACTAATAAAAACTGTAAGTTGTTGGTTAAAATACTCAAAGTATGAGACAACTTGATAAGATCCTTTTATTACCTTTCAACAGATTGTATTATATAAGACAAATAATATGCTTTTATGAGCAAAAAGTACACATAAGGAATCAGAACTTGGGCTGGTAAGATGGCTCAGTGGACTAAGCACTTGCTTAGACAAGCGCAGGGCTCGGGGTTTGATCCCCAGCACCAGCTGCCCTGTCAGCCCCACGCCGGGCACACCAAGCTAGCCACCAAGAGTGGACATGGTGATGCACACCTGTAATCCCAGTGCTGGGGTGGCTGAAACAGGAGGATCACTACAAGTCTGAGTTGC